AAAATAATCAAGTTATGCGCAAATGACTGCTCTCACTGTAGAAATGGCGGACAGACATAACAAACTCAGCCATCTGTGAGGCTTGGCGGCACCAGTGCCACCAGTACGAAATGTTAGTCTGGAGCCCTGAGGTGTCCCACTGTTGTTGATGACTGACAACAGAGTCTCTCTGTACAGAAGCAAAGTTGGAACAGACTCTGTTACTGCACCCTCTGAAGCATCATTTGGGAAAAAAGCCACAAACACAGAAAGTCAAAGCTAATCAGGGTTTCATCCTTATAGCAGAGAATGAGCCACAAACACCTCAAGGCTGTGAAGAAGGACAGAACAAGACGGACGGCTTCAGATGATGCACAGCACAGTGTCCAGACTTTCCAAATGAACATTAAAGCAAAGCAAACTACAAGTACAACACATCTGTGGAACCTGAAAAATCCAGTATAGGCTCTGGTGCACTATGAAACCTAAGTAAAAGATTTCTGCTTTGATTTCTGCATATTTAAAAACTTTAATTATTTACATGCAACTTTTCTATGATAAAAAGGAGCCTGAGGTGGGAGTTGAAAGTCTTTCCTCCTCACAGTTCGGCTGCATCCCTCTCTCTTCCACCCTCCCTTCATTCTCATCTGAATACATTCATATCTGAAAGTGTTGGCTCAGACCAAAAATACTCACGGACTAAACAAAGTGCAGAGTGACTTCAGGGTCTGGGATCTTCAAATAAACCCTGCCTGGGTGTCATGGGGACCAGGAAGTGGAATTAAGTGCTATATTAGCTGACCTTCATCTTGTTGTTTGTCCCAACCTGCCTGGATGGGCCCCGGACTGGCCCGTAACCACGGTCTCCGGGCCCAACAATGCCGGCATTTCCCTCAGCAAAAAAACACAGGCCTCGGGGGTTTACTGAGCAAACAAGTTGAGTCCTGCCAAACACTCTTCGCTCCCACATTTCACAATCACTTTCTCTATCGCCATTTTTCCCTTTTTGTTGCTGTCCATCCATGGAGCTCTGAGAAGGTACCAGACAGTTCTGGATTTAGTGTTAGGAGACCTATAACTCTCAGGATGTGTCGCTTTAGTTTCCAGAGCAGCTGTGGTGTAAACATCTTCTCTCATAAAGCACAATTCCAAATGGTTCCACCTTCATAATTTACTGTACATGTGACTCACTGGTCACAACATCAGGAAACTCGAGCACTGTTCATTCTTTGGTAAAGTTTCCAGAGGAATAGGTCATATTCATTAGAAATGTCTTTATTAGGGGTGGCACAAGATCCCACGGTCGGGATATTAAGACGTTACAATATTTATCATCAAGGTGAAAAGCTGCCTTACAATATCAGTACATAACAGAACCAGAGCAGCAGCCAGCTTGATGGAATGTGAGGGTGAAATTAGCATAGAAGATGTTCCACCACTTTTTAATGTTCAATTTGCAGAAAGGAGTTCAGTTAGAAGGTCACACAGCTTCAGTCAGAAGTGAGAAACTCATGCAGAGTTCTAAGGTCTGAAGAGACTCATGTGAAATCCTACAGGAGAGAAGCCATTGTCTTTTACTGCATGTGATAAGTCACACTAAGGAAGTAGAACTGAAGTGACATTCGTTACAAGAGGATTAGTTAAAACATTTCAAAATGCACCTGTGCTCTTCTGCATTTTGTGATTTTCAGTCAAACAAAAAACTAGTTTTCCAGTCCTTATATTTCGTCATTGAAGAGTTCTTAAAATCTGTGCTAATATTTCGTCATTGAAGATTTCTTAAAAACTGTGCTACAATATCGTCTTGTGAACCCAATATCGTGTATCGTCTCGTCTCGTGAGCTAAGTGTGTCATCACGGCACTAGACTTCACATACTGTGACTACATGACCAGAAACTGTTCAGTTTCCTTTCAACAAGCTGTGTGTTTTATAGCTTTGGGCTGCTTTCACCATTAGTCAGTATGTTGTTCCATCCTCCTGAACCTGACATAAAAGCAGAGTAAAAGTGAAGTGCTCCTGCGTTGCTAGTAAATCATGCCGCGCGTCTGGTCACGTTAATAAAAGACATCAAACAGTCAGGAAACAGACTTGTTGTATAAACACCAGTGGAGAGCTACAAGAGAAAACTTCCATTTTACTGCAAAGCCATGACATTCTGGATTTCCTGTTGAGTAAAAAGCCAAAAAGTCCATAAACAAACAGCAGCAGGTCACTTGTCTCTACCTTCTAATACGATCTATAAGAGTGTCTCCTGAAATAATGCTCCTGTGGTGGCCAGCGTACCAGTTTAGGTCATGGAACAGTCACGGTATTAGGAACAAAAACTACTTCGGTTTATGGGCAGCAACAGTTCCTATTCATTAGCCTTTTCACACTGCCAGTTCAAAGTGGAAGTATGGCAGCGTTTTGCCACAACACCATTCTATATAAAATGTTTGAACCTGGATGGAGGGCTACTGCTGACTCTGTATTATACAGCAGAGGAAAGTAGTAAATTTACCACCTTCATGTTCAACTCTGTGAAGAAGTGCAAAGGCAGTTTGGGGGCAAAGTGTTGTGACATTTTGTTGGCTTGTTATTTTTGCAACCCACCCCAGAGGGATTTAAATGTTAGGTCAGATCTGTGAATAATTATTGACATGTCCAAGTAAAGCAACACCAGGATGCTTTGTATGTCTAATGCATTCTGCATTCTCCTTGCTTAAATAAGCAAAGTTGTCAACTTAATGGGACCTCTGTTTAAAAGAGTAATTGTTGAGCTCTGGCTCTGAAGCCCTGTGCAGATCTCTGACACTGACAGATTCCAAAAGCTCTCATTTACAAAATGGAGCAACAGTTGATTCTCACAGTCTCCAGCTTCTTATTTCTCTACAGTGTGTCAAAAAAGGACAAGAAGTGGAAACAAATGGCAGAAAACAACTGACCAGTTAAAGCAGAGGATGTAAGTTAAGTGATATTGTCAACTACTTCTATGTATATGTGTTAATGCACAAAAACAACTAGATTAGGTAACCTAAGTAATTATTTTAAGTCCCCATGGCTGCTCGTTTTGCTCGTTTCCAGCCATTTAATGTTTAATCTTGGGTACCTCTAGATTACCTGTGCAACGGCCTGGAGATTATACCCACTCAATGACATTCTTAATTTTGTTAGAAAAAAAGTCTCTCGAGACGTATATAAACCGAGATGCTTCTGCACAGAAATACTAGAACATACGTGCACCTCATTGTTTGAGCTTTGGGTCACATCTAAGATGATAATTCACTGTTGTTACATTGTAGATAAGTCAGAAAACAAGGAAAAGCGCCATGGGCTCCTTAGAGAAGGACCTTTGTTGTCATGGTTACAATAATAAACACAGGGTTACAGTTATGAATAGGGCTGCTCGATTATGGAAAAAATCAAAATCACGATTATTTTACATGATTACTCATTGACTTTGGAAATATGTTGCATTTATTGAACAGAACAGTGAAAAACAGATTAAGACAAATAAAACAGATAAAGGCAAACAAGACCAACAATGTAGTGCACTTCCACAACTTTTTTAAAAACAAGTAATAAATAAAATATAAATTATAAATAAAATAATAAATAAATTGGTCCAAAATAAGTTTGCTCACGTATGTGCATTAACAAACTGAAAAATTCTAAACATTTTACAACATTCTACATTTTAAACATAATTAACAGTAGTAGAAGTACTCTGCTTTTGATACTTCATTAGGCATCTGTTATTTTTTTGTGCCTTTCTGAGCTGGATGGATATGGAGTTGCACTGAAGAGCCTGTCTTTAATTGATGACTGTGTTGCAGAGGATGTTTGTCTTTCTTTCTGTTTGTTTATTAGTTGGTCATATGTCGGTCTGTGTTTGAATTTTAAATGGTTGAAAAGATTTGTGGTGTTACCAGCCGGTGGCGACATAACCGCGTAGCAAATCTTGCATGTACTATGTTTTTGATCCACGTCCGCTTCTTCAAATGCAAAATGTTCCCAGGCAACAGAATTTCTTCTACCTTTTTTGTTTACCAAAGACTTCTGGGGCTGCTCTATTTCTGCCATCTTCCCTCGCGCTCTCCCTCGCGCTGATTTTTAAATGCGATCAGATATGACATACGCAAGGGGAAGGGTGAAAGCGAAAGTGCGGATGCGCGAACGCAGGCCAAAATAACTTTAAAAAACAGAATAATCATTTTTTTCTCGATTACACCATTTTTGTGATCGTTGAGCCCCGAAATCGAAAATTCGATTAATTGCACAGCCCTAGTTATGAAACAGCCATGGATAAAAGTAGAAAGTCTGAAACCGAATGGACAGTCTCCAAAAAAGCACTGTGACTTGGTCTCAGAGGAAGAAACCTTTGTCAACAGGAGAAAAAAAACTTGAGAAGATAATAAAATATAATATTTGTGAGGTTTGAGTTATATCCCAAATCTCTCTTTACAGGGTATTAAATTCAAGGCTCCATACTGCGAGTGATCACTCACATTTTGCCACCAAGTTTGTTTAAGGTGCAACAGATTTTTTTTCAAAGATCGCACTGGGTGCAACAGCAAAATAAACAGCTTGTGTGCAAACGATGTACTTCAATGGTTTATAGCTGAAACATGAGAGCAACATTATCATCATGTTGACTGCTAGGCTATAGAATGCTAGAGGGACTAAATTAAAAGAGGTGGAAACTTATTCTAGAAGTGATTTTCCCCATAAGTCTCCCTCTTTCTGAATTTCATTATAAATACAGGCAATGCACATTGGATGGTAAGGTTATTTAAAATAACTTCTGAAAAATAGCTATCAAGCTATCAAACTGTGCTACCTGATCTGATTATTTTGGATAAACTACCTGATATATATGGGGAGGATTTTCTGACAATGCAAACTATCAAAGTGTGCTGCCTCCGAAACAGGCGTCATCCCTGGACCCCAACAAATATCAAGATCAACAAGATGAAAGGCAAAGAAGGAAATAGTACAAGGTCTAATAGGTCAACCCTATGTGTGTGTGAGAGAGAATACCTCCATGTGTGTCTCACACAGGGTGGTGGGATTCAATCTTGTTGTGGCATCAGAGTGGAGTCACCATCAGAAGCCCAGAATCAGCACAGGGATCAGACACAGTCACAGCAATCATCCACAGGGTCACAGGACAAGGACCTGGGTCAGACCACCAGCCGAGAGGAAACGCATTTACAGAAAGCTGCACATACAGCGACCACTCACCCACTTTCAGGATGGTGACCTTGGACTTATTGCTGTGTGCTTAGAAGAATTATTATTAGAATATTCTGAATTAAAAATGGTCAGTGCCTTGAGTAGATTTTACTTTGACAACCAGGAAATGTTTTAATTTTGGGTTATCAGTATCAATGTACTGTAAGGTGGGTGCCACTTTTTTAACACAGCTATGTTTTTCAAGTTTTTTGGAACATATGTATATACTGAAAACACAATATTATGCTTGTACCTTTATGACATCAAGTTTCACTTAATATACTCAAAATTTCATTGAATATTCTCAAGTTCAATTCAATGGCCTATTACCACAGTCTCCATTCAACTTTCCCAAGAATAAAAGCCATATTTATATCCTACTACAAATATATGTGTGTATATGACAAACTCCAAAATGATCACTGAACATTATCACCTTCCTGAAGGAGGATTTACTGCAAGACTGTTGGATTAGACTCACTTAGCTGGGTGTAAAGTTACCAGTACCTGGTAGGTGCTTTATAAATAAATTTTATTATATTATTATTACCTAGGTCAGTAGATAAATTTTATAACTTTTATTATCCATAAACTAAAAATAATAAAAACAACAATTAAATGTCCGTGAGACACTCCTGGCCTGGTTCTGTTTAAACACCAGTGTTTCAGTTCTCAGGAAATTATTTGTTGAAAAATGCAACACAAAAAAACTTCTGGTCAACTGACACTGATATTAATGTGTACTTACTCCGACCTCGGTTGTTTTTGCTCTGCCTCCGCCTTCATCCACATCTCCACTTCCTCGCGCTCCCGTTGTTCTCCAGAAATTTCCATGAATTCTATTCTCCCTCCAGTCAACCGTTTTTTCTCCATTTCCTGTCACCTGACCTTCGCGCGGGCCGCCAGCATTGGAGGAACACTGGGTCAAATGCCAGGACCCTGGGTCAAGGGGAGCCCCAAAAGGCACTTACTCGTTAATTAACCTGATGGAATAATTTGTCAAAAAATACATATTTGTGAAAACTTTGCACAGTATTTGTAGGTTACATGAACGCTTACTATTTTCGTTTTCCTAATTTTACTTAGTCAAAAACAATTTTACCCCGTAGTGCATAATAATGGTTTGTCCCTCTATCTAGCTCCCCTTAAATTTTTTGAATCATCAAAGGTTAGAAGCTCAAAAAGCAAAATAAAAATGAAAAATAGCGAAAATTATAGTAGAGATGCAAGGGAATTTATAACTAGGTATTATTAAGTATATAAGATGAATCTTCAAGTAGGCTACAGCCCAATCCATTTAGCTAAAACGTTTGGCAAACACAGCTACTAATACAGTAGCTACCACCTAGCTTTACCTTTAACGTCCAGTTATTAGCTTGTTAAAGGCTCAAAGACAACACGTCCTCTGACAGAAACAGGCTGGAGATGTTAGTTCCGTCAGAGAGGAGAGGCCCAGCTGGTGATGTTATCATGTGTGACACCAGATCCAGCCCGCAGTAGTGATGTGTTGTTCATGTGTGCTGCCATGTAGTATGCAGTGCTAATTCTAGGCTGTTTACTAGCTTGGGGCATTTAATGACTTTGCAGGTGCAGCACAGTCACAGGACTAAGAGTTCATGCCAACAGTCATGTGAGCTTTGAGATAAATGCTGACATCAGCACACACTGCAGTGATGATGCTAAGAATCTGATATCTACCAAGTTTAATGTACATTGTTCACCATCTTAGTTTAGCATGTTAGCCGCTAACATTTGCTAAATAGTAGGGATGTCCCAATGTGAGTCCTTAATATTAGGTGTTTGCTGATACTGGAGTTTGATCCAATACTTTATTTGCCCAAATAACAAAGCTTCTCAGAGCACAGTCAAGTTAGTGTGACCAGTCCAGTTTAGCCCCAAATAACTCCTAATGTCAGAGGAGAAAGTAATAACAGTCTCATTAACTGAGCAAACTCGTACATTGTCACAAACCTTGCTGTTCATCTCTGGCATGGCAGTTTCAGAGATGCAGTGGCTCCAGAAACTCTACTGGACAAGTGAAAAATTTGACTTCATGAAGGCACAAGATGAAATATCATGGGCTCACTGAAGTCACTGGGATTTATCCTCTGGAGACAATAAATGTCGTGGCAATCCACCTAGTAGTTGTGGTGATATTTAGGTCTGGAGTCAAAGTGGTGGATGACCTGACCAATATCCCTGTCCACTGAACCATCAGCTAATTTAAATTAAAGTAGCCTGGCGATTTTCTAACTGTTCACTGTTAATTCTCCCACAGTGATTTTTGGTGTGATCACACAGACGGTTACTCTCAAGCCAATCCTGATCTCTTACACCAAGTTAATGTATGAGCTGCTACACATTGTCCTTATTAAAAGACCTAAAGAGAGATGTATGATTCCTCCTGCAAGTGACTGACAAGAGGTACCCAACTTTTGGCATTATACTTCTGTAGCCAGAAAGAAAGCATTTCCTTTTTTAATGATGAAAGAGGACAGAGTGTGGTAAACCAGCATGGGAAATTAATTAATGTTGTTGTTTTTTTCTTTTTTAAAAGAATAAATAATAGAATTGTGAAGCAATGGACAGTCATGTCTAATGTGAGGCTGGTACTTGCACGCACGAGATAACTAGCCATGCCTGTAAATCAACAGGTCTCAAATTAGTTTTGCTTGGGAAAACAAGCACTCCATGTTCAGACCACTTCAGCAACTAAGCTGTCCTCATGCAGCTGAGGGAATCCTTGATAAACCGAGTGCCGCTAATGACACGAACCCATTACCAGAGTGTGTCAGTGCATCTCAATGCGTGTACGTCTCATAGGGGGAGGTGTGGGTCTTTTAGCACCATAACAAGCAGAGTCTAGACGCATGTTTCCTTCAAATTACTTTTAATTAATGAATCAATTCTCCATAAATGAAAAATATTCTGATTAAACACTGCATGATGCAGATGTAAGTGAAACAAGCAAATCAAACTGAGGAGTTTTAAAGGAAATTATTCCTCTTCTCAACACACTGTTTATTAAATGGGCGTTTAATATCTTATGGAGGGTGAAGTTGTCAGGGCTGGAAAGAGAAGACACAACCACAATGAAAACAACTAAAAAGAGAAGCAAAATGACTTTAAAGAGACACAAAACAACTACAGAGAAACAGTATGACTACACAGAGATGCAAAATGACCACAACTTTGCAAAACAACTAGAAAGTGGCACGAAACTACAACCAGCAATGATTAATTTACCTATTAATTAATCATTTTACATACAGTGAGGAACAGAAGTATTTGAACACCCTGCGATTTTGCAAGTTCTCCCACTTAGAAATCATGGAGGGGTCTGAAATTCACATTGTAGGTGCATTCCCACTCTGAGAGACAGAATTTAAATAAAAAAAAATCCGGAAATCACATTGTATGATTTTTAAAGAATTTATTTGTCTTGCAAAAATCATACAATGTGATTTCCGGATTTTTTTTTATTTAAATTCTGTCTCTCAGAGTGGGAATGCACCTACAATGTGAATTTCAGACCCCTCCATGATTTCTAAGTGGGAGAACTTGCAAAATCGCAGGGTGTTCAAATACTTCTGTTCCTCACGGTATGTGACCCTCACCACACCCACCAATGTGTGTTCTCTGAATTTGCCCCTGGAAGTTGTATACTTTGTACTGCGGACAGTGCAGCAGGTTTACTTCCTGTCTGGCTCATTCTCATCTTTGTCTTTGTCAGTAACCCATCATCGCTGAGGACTCTTCCTTCACTTGTGCTAGTTTTTCGTCCATGCACCGAGCTTGCACTGCTTCCAGCAGCCAACCATTTCTCTCAGATCACTTGGACTAACTGTCTTTGACAGGTGACCTAGAGACAAACACTCTCTGGGGTCTGATGGGGATGTGTGTGATCCATCTCCACTTTGTTTCAGTCAGGACTTGAGGGTGTTGTACACAAGTAAGAAAATGCATGGTGTCACATTGTCTCCTCTGGACTGCACCAGTATTCCAACTTGGACTGGTCAGGGCTGCATGGTGACCTGTTATACACACATTCCCCTTCAATTTCACATAATCACATAATTTTACTTAAAACCGCAGAGTTTGTATCAGGATGATATAGTCTAAAAGTAAGGAACCTTCAGTGGATGGCCTCGTACAATATCTGATTCTTTAAACCTTACACTGACTGACAGCATTAGTTCTTGTGGAATTACTGAGGATTGCTCAGCAGATTTGTTGTTGATGTTACATTAGAAACAACATGTGAGCTACAGGCTGACCATTTTGTGCTGACTTAGAGAGTTGTAAAAGACTCAGCGGACATTTCTCTTCCCAGTATCTGGCTCTTAGAAGTGCCTGCGAACACATGGGCCCATTAGTTCCACGTCTGCATGGACTGTGTGCCTGATCCAGACTGATGTGATCTCAAAGGGGCCCGAGCCAGCCCTCCCTGGGGACCCATAACCACTCGGGCAGACTGGAACAAACAGCTCAGCACTTACACATACTCCTTTATGGCAGGTGATTCCTTGCTGTGTTTCCACAGCACCCAGGAACTTCTAAGTCTCTCACTCAGACCGATGTTCTCTGCCATGGCTTCCTCACTACTAACCTGCCATGTAGCAGGATTCTTGGCTGTAACCAGAGAGGGTGAGGTCACTGAGGTGTGTGTCTAGGTGTGTTTTGATGCTAGAGAACATGCATAATGGCAGCGTGCACATTCATATTGTAGGAATGAAAGTAATAGTCATTTCTTCTTTGATTCTGTAAGTTCAAACAAGTGGTGCAGCGCAGAAGTAAATTCTGATATAGCCTGCTGTAAGACAAACAACAAGGCACAGACATAAAATGGCTCCTGGAAGAAGCAAAAGACCACAACGAAACAAAGTCTCTGTCTTCTTTTCTCTGTGGCACAATGTAGAAGTGAATTCTCTTAAGTTCTGCTGCTGAAAAACAATAAATACACCTCAGGAATTAATGCATCCAAATGAACTCACCATAGGTGACAAAACCATGACAAGAGTAAATAAACATTTCCCATAAGGGAAAATATGTTGCTGTCAACATTAGTTACTTGGTGTTTTTGCAGGTTTACTAAGGTAAATTTGAGACTTTTAAAAGCCAAAATATGAATATGTTGGACAACCAGTTAGGACAATGCAGAAAACAAGTATATATTGTTATATATCATTTTAGTGCTTACCAGCAGTATATAACAATAACTAATAATATAATAAATGAATGTAATGTGACCTGAACCTGAATGGATGGACAAATTAAACTATTAATAAATTGATTTTGTATAGTGGTGCAACAAATGCCATACTCTCCTGAGTATAAGCCACACCAGAGTATTAGTTGTGCTTAATGTGTGGTTCTAAGGAAAATACATAAGTGGGTTTTGTGTAGAAGTCACAGTTACAGCCCCATTGATCAGCCTCTGCCTGTTGTTTGCTGTTTGCTGTTCAAGGACCCATTTGTGGACTTGTTCCTCCGTTTCAGGTCATCGATCTTTCAGACCACGATTAGCGTTCATAGAATAAAGAGACTTTTGTTTAGCTGTTTGTGGCTGCACACGTTATAATCTGCTCTTTCTTTTTAGTGCCATGTTTATTGTGCTCTAATGTGTGCGTTATTTTTCAGGTTCTTGTAAATGCAAACTTTTTTCTTTCTTTTCTTTTTTTTTGGTACAGTATCACTGTCAATTGAGTCACAAGTCTAAACAGTGCCACCCAGTGGCCATGCTATAGCAGTGAAGTTGCAGGCAGAGCCAAATGACTGAAGACTGACATCCTCTTGCAAATGCAGCGCAGGACAAATTTATCTGTCGCTGCGGATCGGACTCAGTTGTAAATGTCCTGGACTTGAACCACAGGAATGAAATGTCACACAGTGGTATAGATGGTTGTTGAAATTCTTCCTGAAACTATGATGTGGACTACAGAAGCCTGTTGGGGACAAACTGCACAAAACTGCAGCCTCCAGTCTGAATCTAGCGCTAGCGTTGGCTAGTTAACACTAAATGTGTCAGTCCAGTAGAACACTCTGGTTACTGCTGGTGTGACACAAAGCACTGACGTTATACAAAGCTAATTAATTCATCACAAAGGTAAAATCCTGACCATGCTAGGTGGCTAATGCTACCAAAACAAACAGCTTAGCTTTAGATGCTAACACATCCAGAAGGAAGAAGGCCACATCTGGATCCAGTCTGAGTCCTCTGGCTGCTTTTAACCCTCTCCATGTCAAACAGCCAAACCCATGTTAACCCTGGTTGTTGCTCTTTCTTTGTCCCACTCTCTCTGTGCTAAAGACGCCACCTCTTCACTCTGACAGCCGCTGGTTCAGACTTGTAGCTGCCCAGAGCTCCTCCATTTCCAACATCTGTGCTGATGTGTGAGAGTTTGAACTAAATAAAAAGATACATCTAATTCATTTTGGTGCATGAATCTTGTTCCTATAGTAGTTGAGATCTTCTAGTCAGGACTACAGTGGTGGATGCTGTCAGCATGGCTAACATACTCTAATTTCTACAGATCACTAGTCATTAATTTGCCCTCATACACTACCTGCTCCTTTGCTCTCAGTTCAGCCAGCCTCCCATTGGAGGGAAAGCCATGTCATGTTCTTTATTGGGCTAATAAATGTGTCAGGATTAGGCCAACAATTCCTGAGGCATGAATGACATTGCTGCTAGTGGCTTCACAGAACCATGTTACAGAGAGGCATAAAGTTTGTATTTGCTCGATTTTTCTTTCTTTGGATTGACTTTAAAGCCTTGCGAGTCTGGCTCTGTTGGACCTTCACATATAATGGAGGTGAAACAAAGAGAAACTGTGGACCTGGACATGACATCACCAACCAAGGCTCCGTTGCCAGACGCTCAATGTAGTGAAGTTTTTTTTCCAACACTTGGCAAGAGAAACATGTTCCCCCTTTATTGCTATTTACCTCTTTGCCAGCTTTGTCGAAAGCACATAGTTTCACAAGATGAATGTAAAAGTGGAAAAAGACCCTACATTGAGGCTTCTGCAGTCCCCGGCCCTGCCCCAGGTTTCAGCTCTGCATATTATAGCCTGTAGTTGTCCTGAA